AGGTTGGTGGGGTGGTACGTGAGACGAGGGGGATTCTTTTTTGGTTGTTATTGCGGGGACGGGGTGTGAGGGATAAATTGCGGGAAATGTGGGAGACACGGTTGAGGGCGTTCCCGACCACTGATGGGGGGAAGTTGCGGTCCTTGAAAAACGAGGACATCTGAGATGTACGGGAGTGGAATGCCTCATCCTGGGAGCAGATGCGGCGGAGGCGAAGGAATTGGGACTAGGGGATGGCATTTTTGCAGGAAGGTGGGTGGGAGGAGGAGTATTCTAGGTAGCTGTGGGAGTCAGTGGGCTTGAAATGGATATCGGTTTCTAGGTGGTTGCCCGAGATGGAGACAGAGGTCCAGGAAGGGGAGAGAGGTATTAGAGATGGTCCAGGTGAACTTAAGGTTGGGGTGGAAGGTGTCGGTGAAGTGGATGAACTGTTCGAGCACCTCGTGGGAGCACGAGGCGGCGCCGATACAGTCATCAATGTAACGGAGAAAGAGGTGGGGTTTAGGGCCAGTGTAGGTACGGAAGAGGGATTGTTCCACGTAACCTACAAAGAGGCAGTCCACGTAACCTACAAAGAGTCAGATCTCCGCTTTCTGGAATGACTGAATTTCCAAGAAGAGTAGACATCATCCAAAACAAAGCATAATGCAGCCCAGTTATCAACAGCCCGTCTATCTACTTTAATATCCATTCACTCCATTAATGATATAGAATAAGCAGTGCAGAAATTCGTCAAATTTTCTTTGACAGCATCTTCCTCGCCAGCGACCTCAATCATCTAGAAAGACAAACACAGCAGATTAGTAACAACACGACGTCTGGAAGTTCATCTCAAAATCATATTTCATCCTGAGTTGGAACTGTACAACCATTCTGTTGCGGGGACTGTCTCGTAATCTTGGAAAACTTTTTTAACAGCGCTGCAGCTTGAGTTGCACCACGTTCAATGTAATGACTCAAAAAGCGGCCCATGAGTACCTTCTCAAAGGCAAGTTGCCAATGACGCCCACATTCCAGGGACAGAAGATTCAGTGTTTCCTCATCAAATCCAATTAAAATTGGCGCACTAGCCAGATCTTATTCCTCATAACAAAATGAATTTTTGGTGCCTTCTCATTTGGATGGAAACACAGTAATGAAAATGTGCTGTTGTGTTTGCTGCATGATTTCTTCAATTCGTTTCCCTTAACTCTGTTATTTTTCCAGCATTTGGTATTTGGAAGCAATTTTGGCAACGACCAGAGAACCAAATCTATGTTATTGTAGAATTGGAGACTTTGCAATATGTTCACCTTGACAGCACGACCACACCACAAGCATGACTGTTATAAAACTTAAGTTGATTAAGTTTAATTAACGATAAGGCAAATAGACTATCGAATTCTTTAAGCAGTCACAGGGAATACATGCAGTTCAGATATTAGCAAACAAACAACTGCCATAATGACTACCAAATTAACACAACATCAGAGCAAGAGAAAAACTCAATGATATGATTCAATTGAAGACATTTATGCAGTTCGGGGCATTTGACTCAGTGAAAATTCTATACGATCTGCAGATGCTTTTGCATGCAACCTGTGTTAAGAAGAGAAAGAATATTTAGCTTTACGTGCAGTCAGCCAGGTGGAAGATGGCTGCCGTAGATAGCGTAAAATTATAGGGTCTGAGAATACCTATTTAGCACAAAATAGAAAGCCTCGACTGTCTACTCCATGATTTATTGTCATTCAACTTAAACTCCCAGTTAAGGAAAAGGGTGAGTGAAAGGATGATGTCCAAAAGTAGAATATATTGTTTATCTGTAAGTGCTACTGTGAAGGTGATGACATGTTGCCTTAAACTCTGTTTTCCCGGATGATGCATGACTGAGAAGGAACAGCAACTACTTGCCATTTTTGGGCGTAGAGTTCTCTAGTTTGAAAGCTGCTGTCATAGGTGCCTCAGCGCATTGCTGCAAAGCATATACCAAATTTGAACAATAAAAACGTTGCATGAAGTTTTGAATAAGTGCTATAAATTCGCAATATAAAACAGTTACGTTGGGGAAATTCGAAAGTTTCACTCGACCACAGTCGCTGATAAATGTAACATGGTCAATAGAAACGCAGACCATTTCTTATAAATCGGAAAATACAAAGAGGTTACACAATCTTCTGATTATTTTGCATTCGTGTATTGAACTATTCTTACAAATTTTGATTGTAATCTTTCTGGACTGAATGATAAAAATCACATTTTTTGGTATGATATCGGTATGTTAACAGCAGCATTGTGTTAATGGAAACTCGAAACAAGATACCTATAAATGCTCTCAATGAGTCAAACTACCGATCTTATTCTAGAAACTTATTCTCGGATTAACGGTTTTTGCAGGTTGATGTTGTCAAATCTTAAAGTAAAAGGTGAGTGTTTTGATCCAAATTGTGGTGTAATCTTTCATATTGAATGACCAATCGATAATGTTCTTCACCTGTACTACCATTTAAAGTTATGTAAATCATGTTGCATTGCCATTAATGTCAAAACCTTGGACCAATTTAGTTCAATGAGAAAAGCGAGGCAAAGGTGAGGACCACGATAACGCTCCCCAGACTAAGTTTACAATGTTGTTTCTTTTCATATTTCAATAAACTGTCAGTATCAAATAACAGTCGTTTTTCACAGATTATGCAGGTTGAAAAACAATATTTTTGGTGAACGATAAGTTCATTGTATCTGGAATCATTAGCAATCACTGAAAGTAGACCTATCATGGGATCACTCGAGTGCTTTTAAGCATACTATAGTCAGAATAATCGGTATCACTAGGATAGATATTAAATGTGTGCAAGAGTGTAAAAGTACTAGCAAGTGTCAGCACCGTGTAGTTTTAACTCTATCGACTTAATTTTAAATATAGGATCCTTAATTTGTACGTTATTCTAAGTGCCCTGTGGTGAACTAAACGATATGCCTTAATTAATAATTAGCTGAGCATATGGTGAACCACAACACGGACATTTATTATACAGTGCTAATTTTGGGTTTCCATGCAAATCTGAAATGGTACACATTAAAACTTCGATCAACCAATATTTAATTACCCCTGAAACACGTGCTTCTATCTTAAGAAATAAAGCATGATACTAATGAATTAAACCAGTCTATTGTAGTTGTATCTCTCATGTGATTCCGGGCACTGTCTGATGCTCTGATCACGTCAAGCCTCAATAGTAGCACCCCCAATGTGCCACATGCACCAAAGTTTTATGTTTTGGGTGCTAAGTGTACGTGATTTATGTCAGCCACCAACATCTTTGAATGACCATTTAATTCACCACTACTAACTGACCAATAAGTGTCAAAACATGAACACCCCAGTCCAAGCAGATTTCCCTCTTGCATCAGAAGCAGGAATTTGTCAACAATTGCCCCGATTTCTTATTATTGTATTGGAATTACTATCTTGATTGAAATGATGCCGCACGAGAGATTATATTTTGCCATCGCTAAAGTCATTCGACTGACATCATAGAGTTCACTGAATACTGCAGAAGTGACTGGACGTAATCTCTAAATTTCACTATCGGCTCTTCTGCTGCCGTGTTTGGCCATATCTAGCGTAAGTGCCTATCAGTTTCCTTCTTATTATCCTCAGAAATTATTTCTTAAATATAAAGACCACAAATATAAAAATAAATTTGATACTTCAAGACTGACGGGCAATTTTTTATTCCAAATGCAAAATAATTTGAAGTTTTGCATAGGTGCATAATGTCTACGATTTATATTAAATTCAGTACAAGGAGTTGACCAACAGATTCTATTCTGCTTTAATGAAATGGGCTTCCACCATCGATGGAAGCATAATATCCATATTCGAAATTACGGTGCAAATAATTTTGTTGTAAGAAAACAACAATTGGATTAATGATCATTCATTTCAACTGAACAAAATTTAATAGGATGTTCTGGGATATTTCACACTTTTGATGGTACCTTTCCAAAAAATGACAATGAATTTTGATCTTCAAAATTAAATGCATGTTCCCAATGTAACTGAGCAGTACGTTTTCACACACATTCATAACTAGGAAATAAAAACAATTTTGTTTGATATTCCGTTGCTACCAGCAACTTGAATTTTACCTAAAAGGATACAAGATGACAGAAGTCTCTGAATCAGAATTATTACTTTATTAAGTAAATTGGACTCACTGACAACAAAATGCACTTTTAAAACATTGACAAGTAGAAGTGCCTCTGTGGAAAAACTCTTCTGCACAGAGACCGATATCAAGTAACTTGCAAGTTGACTGGACATAACGACAACTCATAAAAAGCTTGAAGTAGATAGTTTTAAAGTTAAGTTTCAATGTACAAGAAAGAAAAAGTGAAGCCTTTGAAGCCTTTAACACTGTATCAATGTTCCTTCTAATAGTCCACAATTGCTCATTGCTGGCAACTGTATTTCGGTTCCAAAATGGTGTCAATATTTGAGTTTCAATCCCTTGTTGTGTATAGAATATACATTGTGCCTATAATTCATATATCCGTGAATGAGCCACCATGTTTATTCTATTCTTTTGCATTTTACAAAATAAAAGATGACTTACTCTATTGTCCAGAAATAGATGATGAGATAATGATAAGAATTGGGGGAGGTGGACGTGATAGTTGGGGGGTGATGGGGACATAGGGTTGGTCGGTTGTTCTGCTCTAACAAGGTAAGTGCAGAATATTCCATCAGGAAGCTTATAAAAATATTCCTGGCAGAAATTGTGTCACATATTCAGTAGAAAATTGTCTTGTCAGAAAACAAGAAACACGAGTTGCTGTATACAGGTGCAAAAACAAAGTTGCTGGAGAAGCTCAGCAGGTCTGGCAGCATCTGTGAAGGGAAAAACAGAGTTAACGTTTCGCGTCCGGTGACCCTTCCTCAGAACTCACAGCAATTTTCCTTCACAGATGCTGCTAGACCTGTTGAGCTTCTCCAGCAACTTTGTTTTTGATCCTGATTTACAGCATTCGCATTTCTTTCAGTTTTTATTTAATTGCTATATACAGGTGACAGTCTTGCTGTGCAAAAAATCCAGAGCATTATGAAGATGGGTATTCACAATAACAACTACGTAATGAGATGTTGCCTTTATTCATACCTATATATAGACAAATATTATTATGACGTACACTGCTGTCAATCATTCGGGAAGCATGCAATTTGACTGTACAGAAGTTATTCATCTTGGAGCATAATGTGCTGCAAGTTTGCCTAACATTGCGTAAGTTAGCCAGAGTAAGCAGACCAAATACATTTTTTCAACCTTCTCACCATACCGACAAAACATTATTAATTCGAATCACTATATACCCATTCAGAGCTCCTACAAGGCACGAGAATGTATTTCTACGAGCCTTCTGGGATCAGGTTCCACTTCGCATTTATCCGAAGTACACAATCCTATCCCATATTGTCCTGAAGAGCACCTTTCAATGGAGGATTGCTCCAAATCCCGCTGTCTGCTGTTGTATGCCTGAAAACACATATGAGAAAGCACGTTTTAGAGATTTTTTTTATTTTTATCGGCACAGATTGGAGTACAAAAGTGAAATTACTATGCAAAAAACAAATTATTTCAACTTTTAGTGGGAGAAAAAAAATGACTTACAAAACATGGCACGAAGTCATATTTAATTATTTCATATTAGTTATCAACCAGCTCTGAAATATACTTAAATTATTGTTGGCATACACGTGTTACCCCTCATATTTCTATTTAAGAAGACTATTTGATTTTTAGTGGTAACACTCATGTACAGCTTTCTGGATGGAACAGTGACTACGTTAATGCTCTATCTATTTTGATTCTCCTTCGTCTTGTTCTTCACAACATTTCTACATTCAGATCGACTTTCCTGCTATCAATACCCACTTATGCGTATACAAGGTCGTCCCTGCATATATTTAACGTACAGATTTGTATCTATATACTGCATTAATGCAATGTTAAATCCACATAAGTAATGCACAAATGATATTTGATATTTATGTACATTAATGCAAAGGATTTCCGTAAAGGAGAATAAAGGGATTGATCGGGGTGGGGATGGAATATGAGATTAAACTTGCAGGGAACATGCAAACTGAATATAAAAATTTCTATAGGTATGTGAAGAGAAAAATATTAGTGAAATATTAGTGAAACGTGTCGGTGAAGAAAAACGTAGACAACTCGCATTCAGAAACCTGGGTTACAATAACAAGCAAAGAGATAGCAGAACAATTAAGCATGGATTTTGCTTCTGCCTTGACAAAGCTTAGGTATAAATATCTTATGGGTACAGTGACCAATGGATATGGCGCAGCTATGTGAGATTAGGGTATTGAGCTCGATGATCAGCCACAATCATTTTGAATTGCAGAGTAGACTCGAGGGGTGGAGTGGCCCACTCCTACGCCTATCTTCTATGTTTCCACAGCACAATTTATGTACCAAAGTGTTGGACAACATAGGGTCAAGTGAGTGGTAGGGACTGAAGGAAATCAGAATAAGTAGGAAAGTGATGTTGGGGAAATTAATGCAGTGAAATATCAATACATTACCAAGCCTGTCAATCTACATCCCATTGTGCCTGAAGAAATGGCCTGAGAAATAATGGGTGTTTTGTTGGTCTTTTTTCAGTATTCTGTATACTCTTGAACAGTCCCCATAGATAGCTAATATAAACCCACTGATTTAAAAAAAAGATAGAGAAAAAAATGAAACAGGAAATTATTGACCGTTTGAAGTCTGACATTATTCGTGTTGAAAATGCTAAAGCTCATTATGAAATAATTAATAGCAGAACACTTGGAAAATAGTCACATGATCAAACAGCCAGCAAGGATTTAAGAAAGGGAAATCATGCTTGGTAAATCTACAGGAATGTTTTGAAGTTGTAACTAGGGAGTTTACAAGGGAAACCAGTAGATGTGCTTTACCTGGACTTTCAGAATGACTTTGTTAAAGTACCACAAACGCATTTAGCATGTAAAATTAAGGCCCATGAGAATGGGGCAAGCAAACTGACTCGGATAGAGAACTGGATGGCAGACAGGAAGCAAAGAGTGGGAACAGACAGTTTTTCTTTATGGAATGGCATCGAGTCACTATCGGGAATCACTCAGATCAGTGCTTGGACCTTATCTATTCACAACGCATGCCATTGATTTCGATGTGGAAACTAAATGTAGTCTCTCCAGGTTTGCAGGTAATACAAAACTTGATGGGAGGGTGAGCAACGAAAAGGGTGCAGAGATGATTCGTTGTGATTTGGACAGTTTGAGTGATTAGTTTGACAGATGATATATAATGTGGATATATGTGAGTTTATCGATTTTGCTAACCAAATCAGCGAGGCGGATTATTATCTGAATGACCATAGACTTGGGAAAGTGGGAGGTGCAATGACATCTGTCTGTCCTTGCACACTAGTCGCTGAAAGTAAGCATGCAGTTGTGTTGGCTATACAGCAGCCTATTGGTATATTAGCATTCATAACATGAGGATTCGAATAGAGTAACAGGAATATCTGGCTGCAATTGTAAAGGGCCTTGCTGAGAACACATCTCGATTATTTTCTGCAGTTTTTGTCTCCCTACCTGATAAATGATGTTCTAGTTATGGAGAAAGTGCAATGAAGCTTAAACTGACTGATTCCTATGATTGATATAATTTAGGACTGACATATCAAACATACTGGAACAGTTAGAAATGCATTCACTGAATTTTAAATGAACGAGAGTGAATACATAGACAGCTATAAAATCGTAAGACATTTGGACTGTTCAAATGCAGAAAGGATGTTCCCGATGAAATGAGAGTTCCAAACCAGGAGTTATAGGGCAAGGTTATGGGGTAGGCCATTCAGAATAGAGATGAAGAGAAATTCCCTTACCTGGAGAATAGTGAGCCTATGTAATTGATTGCCACAGAAAGCATTTGAGGCAAAAGTGCTAAATGTTTTCTAGAAGGAGTTGGAGATAGTCCTTAGGGGTAAAGGGATAAAAGGATAAGGGAGAAAGCAGGAACTGGGTACGGAACTGGATGATGGGACATGATCATTGAGTTCTATGTGTTAACGTTGCCTCCCTGAGTTCAGCATGACTCCAAGTTTTCAAAGTGTACCATGAGAGGGAAGGTGACAACGTGATCCACGTTGATAGCAGAAACAGAGAAACAAAAAAGTAAGGTTCCTAAGTTTGAATATACCAGCAGAAAAGAAACTAGTAAGCGGGACATTAACAATAGTAATTATCAGTTTATGTTAAGTTCCAATGTTATCAGTCATTAGTTGGGCTACAACTTGTGTAATGTGTGCATTTCTTGTCAGTTCATTATGAACAGAATGTAATAGCACTAAAGACAGTGGGTAGGATTTTTCTATGGATATTGCCAGGATTGGAAATATTTGGTAGGTTTTAATGATTGAATAGGCTGGCAGTTACAGGGGAGGCTATGGTTCGTTTTACTTGAGGTGTACCAAATAATGAGGAACTTGGACACAATGAATTTGAATAGTCTATTTAACTTAGCAGTGACAAGACGATGCAGAAAATGCCATCTAGATTAATATCTGGCATAACTGTATTGTCTCGTGATGAAAGAATTGACAGACTGGCTTCATTTCTACAACAATTGGAAGAATGGTGTTGACTTGATGTGCATTGAGAGTATTGAAATATGTAAGATCCTGAATGATAATGATATAATAAAAGTCGAAAGGATGTTACCTACTTTGGAAATACCCAGACGATGGGGTGCTACATAAAACAAAAATAGTGCTCACTCCTTTTTTAGGGCAGAAATTCACTTTTATATCAGCGTGAAACTTTCTTCTGACTTTGTTGTCTGTGAGAACTCCATGCCTCAGAAGGTGGTGAGGAGGGGCACTGAAATGCTTTAAGATGAACATAAATGCAATCTTGGTAGCCAGGCTAAGCAAAGGCTATTTTGCATTGACTGGAATGTTGATTTTGAAATACTGTCAGATCAGGATGACCTCACTGATGATTGGAGCAAGCTCAAGTGGCCGTTTATCTATTCTTCCCCGTGATTCACTTCATTTATTCATTCGCAGGATGAGGGCATCACTGGCCAGGCAGTATTTATTGCTCATCCCTAATTGTCCAGAAGGCAGTTGAGAGTCAACCACATTGCTGTGGGTCTGGAGTCACATGTAGGCCAGACCAGGTAAGGATGGCAGTTTCCTTCCCTAAAGGGCATTATTGAATCAGATGGGTTTTTTCTGACAATTGACAATGGATTCATGGTCTTCATTAAATTCGTATTTCCAGATATTATATTGAATTCAAATTCCACCATCTGCTGTGCCCGGGACCCCAGAACACTATCTGGGTCTCTGGATTAATAGTCCAGCGATAATACCACTAGGCCATCGCCTCCCCCAGGAAGAGCAGTCTTGTCAAAGTTGGCACCACAGTGCACACAACCCCGGGAATATAGATCATTGACCCTGAATGCCAGGAGTTCTCACGGATTCGATTTAAATATCAACAATGGAATCTCCTTCTGATTAAGATCGACTACCTTCTGCAGAGAATGAGAACTTGTCCATACAGAACAGAATTTGGTGAAAGAGAAAGGTGGCAATGTCAAAATGTACTCGGTGGAGAACTTCAAAGACCTTTACAAGTGAGGTGTTTGGTAACCTGACCTACCTTATCAACTGAAGAATGAGATAATAACTGGACTACGTATAGGGGAATTTTTAACGAAACAAACTGAAGGAAAAGACACACTTGACCTCTTCTTCGCTAACTTACGTTTTGAAGATATATCTGTGAATGACAACATTGATATTTCTTGTGCAGTCAAAATCCTGTCTCAATATAGAAGCCCAACTGCATGGTGTTGTGTGGATAAATGCAGCAGTTTTCGAACTGATCTAGCAATTCAAAACTGGACATCCATTAGGGACTGCGGGCTATCAGTTGCAGCAGATGTTTATCCAACCACAATCTATAATCTTAAGATTCAGCATATCCTTGGTATAATGAAGAGCACAGGAGAGCATGCCAGAAGCATCATTAAAAGTAAAGTATCAATTTGATGCAACTGCAAACCAGGGAAACTTGCAAACGAAGAATATTCAGCATACAGTAGATAGAACTAAGTGGTTCTACAAACAACCAATCAAGTTATCGTTTTGCAGTTCTGCTACGTCCTGTTTCTAGTGGTGGTGAAACGTTAAACATTTAACAAGAGAAGGCGGGTTCGAAAACATACTGAATGCTCAATTATTTGAGAAACTAGTGCAAAAAACATTCCTGAATATTCTGAAACTGTCCAGATGGGATATCCATCTCAATCTCCTCCTTGTGTACTTAATATCACATGTACCTGCCTTCAGCTTTTTGATTTCCTGTGCTATAACAGGAAACGGCTGAAAACATGTTTCACTATCAATCTGTGGTATCTTATAAAATTATGGCTTTGGTACCATGCATCTGATATTCAAACTGAGCCACTGA